CAAACTGGGATGGGGTCAAACTGGGAACTGGTGCCATACTGGGACAGGGTGACACCGGGGAACTGGGACAAACTGGGACAGGGTGACACCAGGGAACTGGGACAAACTGGGGCCAAACCGGGAACTGGGGCCAAACTGGGACAAGATGAACCGGGACTGGGCCAAACTGGGATGGGGTCAAACTGGGAACTGGGGCCAAACTGGGATATGGTGACACCGGGGAACTGGGACAAACTGGGATATGGTGACACTGGGGAACTGGGACAAACTGGGATATGGTGACACCGGGGAACTGGGACAAACTGGGACAGGGTGACACTGGGAACTGGGACAAACTGGGCCATACTGGGACAGGGTGACACCGGGACAAACTGGGCCAAACTGGGACAGGGTCAAACTGGGACGAGGGGGAATTTTGGAGGGGATTTTGAGGTGTCCTGATGGGGGGAATTGGGGGGGGATTTCTGGGGGATTTTGTGGAAGATTTTGGGGGGGATTTGAAGAGTCCTGATTGGCTGGGGGGAGAATTTTGAGGAGAGGGGATTTTGGAGTGGTTTCAAAAGGGGATTTCAAAAGTCTCGCTTCCCACACTTTTCTCCTCATTTCCCACCTTTTTTTCCTCACTTTTCCCCCTCAAATTTTCCTTTTCCCCCTCCCATTTCCCTCATTTTTCCACCATTTCTGTTCCCTTCCCACCTTGTGTTTCCTGCATTTTATCCCTCACCTTTCCCACATTTTTCACCTGTTTTTCCCAACTTTTCCCCCTCAAATTTCTCACTTTTTCCTCTCTGCATTTCCTGCCCTTTCCCCTCACTTTTCCCACCATTTTCCGTGCACATTTACCTCAATTTCCCTAATTTTCCCCGCAATGTTTGCCTCACTTTTTCAATTTCCCCCTCACATTTCCCGCCTTTTTCTCCCCATATTTCTACCCATTTCTCCTCACCTTTCCCACTGTTTCCCCCTCACATTTTCTGTTTTTTTACTCACACATCTCACCTTTTCCCCCTCACATTTCCTGCTATTTCCCCCTCACATTTCCCACCTTTTTCCCCTCACATTTCCCATTTTTTTCCCCTCACGTTTCCCCCTTATTTTCTCACTTTTGCCATATTTTCCCCCTCACATTTCCCACAATTTCCCCCTTACATTTCCTGCCCTTTCCCCCTCACATTTCCGCCATTTTCCGAATTTTCCCTGCCCTTTCCTTCATGTTTCCCGCACTTTTCTCCTCACTTTTCCCGCCTTTTCCTCCTCACATTCCCCACCATTTCCCCCTCATGTTTCCTGCTCACATTTCCTCCCTTTTCCCGTCACATTTTCTCTCTTTTTCCATTTCCCACTACTTCCCCCTCACGTTTTCCACCATTTCCTTCACTTTTCCCGCCTTTTCCCCCCTCACGTTTCCCACCTTTTCCTCCTCGCATTTCCCGCCATTTTTCCTTCATTTTCCCCTCACATTTCTTTGTTCCCCCCTCACATTTCCCTCCATTTTCCCCTCACATTTCCTGCCTTTTCCCCCTCAAATTTCCCACATTTCCCCCCTCACATTTCCCCCCTTTTTTTCTCATTTTCCCACCTTTTCCTCTCACATTTCCCATTTTTTCCCCCTCACATTTCCGCTCATGTTTCCCACCTTTTCCTCCTCACTTTTCCCACCTTTTCCCCCTCATTTCCCATTTTTTCCCCTCATATTTTCCATTTTTTCCCCTCACATTTCCCACCCTTTCCTCCTAATGTTTCCCACCATTTTTCCTTCATTTCCCCCTCACATTTCCTTTTTTCCCCCTCACATTTCCTTTTTTCCCCTCACATTTCCCTTCATTTTCCCCTCACATTTCCTGCCTTTTCCCCCTCAAATTCCCGTTTTCGCCTCAAATTTCCCACCATTCTCCCCTCAATTTTCCACCCTTTCCCCCTCACATTTCCCATCTTTCTCCCCTCACCTTTCCCACCTTTTCCTCCTCACATTTTCCTCCATTTTCCCCTCACACTTCCCTTCATTTTCTCGCATTTTTACCCCCATATTTCCCGCCTTTTTCCCCTCACATTTTCCATTTTTGCCTAATTTTTCCCACTATTTCCTTCATGTTTCCTGCCCATTTCCCCTCATGTTTCCCACATTTTTCTCCTCGTTTTTACCACCATTTTCTGGTTGTTTCCTGCACTTTTCTTCCCGTGACTCTTGGTTGAGATCCAGGACTTTTGCTTGAGCACCATGATTCTTGGTTGACCATGATCCTTGGTCAACCACCATGACCCCTGGTTGACATCCATGACTCTTGGTTGGCCACCACGACTCTTGGTTGGCCACCACAACTCTTGGTTGACCACCATGACTCTTGGTTGATCACCATGATTCTTAGTTGACCTCCATGACTCTTGGTTGACTGCCATGATTCTTGGTCAACCCCTACGGCTCTTGGTCGACCACACAACCCTGTGTTGACCATCACAACTCTTGGTTCACCTCCACAATTCTTGGTTGACCCTTATGGCTATTGATTGACCACCATGATTTTTGGTTGACCACCACAACTCTTGATTGACCTCCATAACTCTTGATGGACTACCATGATTCTTGGTTGGCCACCACAAGTCTTGGTTGGCCACCACAAGTCTTGGTTGACCCCTTATGGCTCTTGACTGACCACCATGATTCTCGGTTGACCACCACACCTCCACAACCTTCTCCAAACCACCCCCGCCAACTCCCGATCGCCTCCAACCACCTCCAGAACCTCTCCATCCTCCCACACCTCCATCCCAGCACCCCCGGGGACCCCCCGGAGCCCCTCCCCGGCTCAGTTGAGGAAGCGCCGGCAGCGCCGGGCGCCGCAGTTGCAGGGCAGCTTGGCCGCCGGCTCCTCGATGGGGAACTTGTAGTCGTAGGTGAGCTCCTCGCCGCGCAGGATGCGGCGCAGCGCGAAGATGACGATGCGCTTGTGGCCCTCCACGTGGATGACGCGCGAGTAGCAGTTGGGCTCGCACGAGTGGTTGATGAAGCGCGCGGCGCTGCCGTGCATGGTGGCGTCCACCACCTCGGCCTCGTCGATGCGGAACATGTAGCAGCCGATGCCCTGCGGGGGCAGCCAGGGGGTCAGCGGGGCGGGGGCGTGGTATGGGGCTGGGGGTGTGGTCATGGGTTGGGGTGTGGTCAGGGGTTGGGGGTGTGGTCAAGGGTTGGGGCGTGGTCAAGGGTTGGGACATCATCACGAGTTGGGGACAGTCAATGGTTGGGACATGGTCAAGTGTTGGTGACATCCTCAAGGATTGGGGCGTGGTCAAGGGTTGGGGAGTGGTCAAGAGTTGGGGTGTGGTCAAGGGTTGGGGACATTCAAGGGTTGAGACATGGTCAAGGGTTGGGGACATGGTCAAGGGTTGGGGACATCATCAAGGCATGGGGTGTGGTCAAGGGTTGTGGACAGTCAAGAGTTGGGGCGTGATCAGGGGTTGGGGCCATCATCAAGGGTTGACTTTTCTGTAATTTTCTCACCTTTTCCACTATTTCCCTTCATGTTTCCGTCCATTTTCCCCTCACGTTTGCTTCCATTTTCCCCACACTTCCCTCCATTTTCCCTTCCTATTTCCCGCCTTTTCCCCCTCACTTTTCACTCCATTTTCCCCCCACATTTCCCTTCATTTTCCCCTCACATTTCCCTCCATTTTCCCCTCACATTTCCCTCCATTTTCCCCTCACATTGCCCTCCATTTCCCCCTCACATTTCCCTCCATTTTCCCCTCACGTTTCCCTCCATTTTCCCCTCACATTTCCCTCTATTTTCCCCTCACATTGCCCTCCATTTCCCCCTCACATTTCCTTCCATTTTCCCTTCACATTTCCTACCATTTTCCCTTAATATTTCAAGCTTTTTCCCCCACATTTCCCGCCTTTTTCCCCTCACGTTTCCCTCCATTTTCTCCTCATGTTTGCTTCCATTTTCCCCTCACATTTCCTTCCATTTTCCCCTCACATTTTGCTCCATTTTCTCCTCACGTTTCCCTCCATTTTCCTCTCACGTTTCCCGCCATTTCCCCCTCATGTTTCCTTCCATTTTCCCCTCACATTTTCCTCCATTTTCCCCTTAGGTTTCCTTCCATTTCCCCCTCATATTTCCCTTCATATTTCAAGCCTTTCCCCCCTCACATTTTCCCCTCACGTTTCCCTCCATTTTCCCCTCACGTTTCCCTCCATTTTCCCCTCACGTTTCCCTCCATTTTCTCCTTACTTTTCCCTCCATTTTCTCCCTCATGTTTTCCTCCATTTTCCCCTCACATTTGCCTCCATTTTCCCCTCACATTTTCTCCTTACTTTTCCCTCCATTTTCCCCTCACGTTTTCTTCCATTTTCCCCACACTTCCCTCCATTTTCCCTTCATATTCCCCACCTTTTCCCCCTCACATTTTCCCCTCACTTTTCACTCCATTTTCCCCTCACATTTTGCTCCATTTTCCCCTCATGTTTCCCTCCATTTTCCCCTCACATTTCCCTCCATTTCCCCCTCACATTTCCTTCCATTTCCCCCTCGCTTTCCCCTCCATTTCCCCCTCATTTTTCCCTCCATTTTCCCTTCACGTTTCCCTCCATTTTCCTCTCACATTTCCCTCCATTTTCCCCTCACATTTTCCCGCATTTCTCCCCTCATTTTCCCACCATTTTCCCACCGTGTCTCCCATCACTGCATTCACTCAATATTTGGGGTAATCCCTTCAATTTTTGGGTTTTCCCGCCCGTATTTTTCACTTGTCCCTCCCAGTTTTTGGGGTATCCTCCCCATTTTCCACAGCACCCCAAATTTTTCCAGCTTTCCCTCCAATTTTTCCTCTCTCTCTCCCATTTTTGGGGTCTCCCTCCTCATTTTCTTGGGATTTCACCCCATTTTTGGCCTTCCCCCTTTTTTTGAGCTTTTCTCCCCATTTTTGGGGCGTCCTCTCAATTTTTTGAGGTATCCCCCATAATTTTTTGACTTTTCCTCCCAATTTTTTGACTTTTCCTCACACTTTTTAAACTTTTCCTCCCAAATTTTCAGCCTTTTCCCCTTAATTTTTGGGGTTTCCCCCTAATTTTTGGCATTTCCCCCCATTTTTTGGGGTGTCCCTCCAATTTTTCCCCATTTCTTCCCCCAATTTTTCCACACTTTCCCCATTTCCAAACTTCCTCCTCCATTTTTTTGGGTGCTCCCCCCGTTTTTTGAGCCGTTCTCCTCATTTTTTGGGGTGTTTTTTTCCTTTTTTTAGGGGGTTTTCCCCCCCAAAATTTGGGGGTGCCTACCTTGCTGTCGTAGAACTTCTCGCGCTTGTCGGTGAGCACGGAGCGCACGACGATTCCGGAATATTCGATCACCATCTCCCCGGCCTCGATGTTCCTCTTGCAGAACAGGCCCCTCCCGTGGATGGCCGAGCTGGATTTGGGGGGTCAGGGTCACCCCCAAATCCGGGAAACCCCAAAAATCCCCCCAAAAATCCACCCAGGAATGCCAAAAAACTGCAAAAATTCACCGAATTTCACCTAAAAAAACCACCCCAGGAACCCCAAATCCTCCCTGTCTGTGGATGGCCAAGCTGGGTTTGGGAGGTCAAGGTCACCCCCAAATCCGGGAAACCCGAAAATCCCAAAAATTCCCCCAAAAATCCACCCAGCAATGCCAAAAATCCTGCAAAAATCAACACAGGAAGTCCTAAAAACTGCCCCAAAATTCCCAAAATGACCCCCAGGAACCCCAAAATCCTCCAAAATTCTCCCCTGCCTGTGGATGGCTGAGTTGAGGGGGCTCAGGGTCACCCCCAAATTTTGGGAACCCCAAAAATCCCAAAATCCCCCCAAAATTCCCCTAGGAACGCAAAAAAACCCCTCAAAAATCCACCCAGGAAACCCAAATTTCACCCAAAAAATCAACACAGGAACACGAAAATTCCCCCCAAATTCTCCCCTGCCTGGGGATGGTTGAGCTCAGGGGGGTCAGGGTCACCCCCAAATCCAGGGAACCCCAAAATCCCCCCAAAAATTCACCCAGGACCCCCAAATTTCACCCTAAAACCCCCAATATTCTGCTCAAAATCCACCCCAGGTGTGCCCAGGTGTCCCCAAATCTCTCTCAGGTGCCCCCAGGTGTGTTCCCAAGTGCCCCCAGGTGTGCCAGGTGTGTTCCCAGGTGTCCCCAAATCTCTCTCAGGTGCCCCCAGGTGTGCCCAGGTGTATATGAAATGCCCCCAGGTGTGCCCAGATGCCCCCAGGTGTGCCCAGGTGTGTTCCCAAGTGCCCCCACGTGCCCCCAGGTGTGCCCAGGTGCCCGCAGGTGTATCTGAGATGCCCCCAGGTGTGCCCAGGTGTCCCTAAATCTCTCTCAGGTGCCCCCAGCTGTGCCCAGGTGTGTCCAGGTACCCCCAGGTGTGCCCAGGTGCCCTCCAGGTGTGCCCAAATCTCTCTTGGGTGCCCCCAGGTGTGCCCAGGTGTGTTCCCAAGTGTGCCAGGTGTGCCCAGGTGTATCTCAGGTGCCCCAGGTGTGTTCCCAGGTGCCCCCAGGTGTGCCCAAAGCTCTCTCAGGAGTCCCCAGGTGTGTTCCCAAGTGTGCCAGGTGTGCCCAGGTGTATCTCAGGTGCCCCAGGTGTGTTCCCAGGTGCCCCCAGGTGTGCCCAAATCTCTCTCAGGAGTCCCCAGGTGTGTTCCCAAGTGTGCCAGGTGTGCCCAGGTGTGTCCCAAGTGCCCCCAGGTGTGCCCCCAGGTGTGCCAGGTGTGCCCAGGTGTGTTCCCAGGTGTGTTCCCAGGTGCCTCCAGGTGTGCCAGGTGTGTTCCAAGTGCCCCCAGGTGTGCCCCCAGGTGTGCCCAGGTGTGCCCGGTGTGTTCCCAGGTGCCTCCAGGTGTGTTCCCAGGTGTGTTCCCAGGTGTGCCCAGGTGTGCCCCCACGTGTGCCCACGTGTGCCCCCAGGTGTGCCCAGGTGCCCCCAGGTGTGCCAGGTGCCCCCAGGTGTGCCCAGGTGTGCCCAAACCTCTCTCAGGTGCCCCCAGGTGTGCCCAGGTGCCCCCAGGTGTGCCCAGGTGTGCCCGGCGCGAGGTGTGTGCCCAGGTGTGCCAGGTGTGCCCAGGTGTATCTAAGGTGCCCCCAGGTGTGCCCAGGTGCCCCCAGCTGTGCCCAGGTGCCCCCAGGTGTGTTCCCAGGTGTGCCCCAGGTGCGCCCAGGTGTGCCCAGGTGTTCCCAGGTGCCCCCAGCTGTGCCCAGGTGTGCCCAGGTGTGCCCCAGGTGCCCCCAGGTGTGCCCGGCGCGCCGCACTCACCGGTAGACGCCCACCGCCTCCTTGGCCGTTCTCTTGAGGTGCCGGAAGCGCATGGCCATGGGCAGCTCCAGGCTGGTGGCGCGGCTTGGGGGGCGTCAGGGGGTCCCCAAAACCGGGGGGCACCCCCGAACCCCCCAGAGCAATCCCAAACCCCAGAAACCCCCAAAATCCCCCCCAAAAAATCCCCAAAAAACCCCAAAATCCCAGAAAACCCCAAAATCCCCAAAAAACCCCAAAATCCCGAAGACCCCCCCCCCCCAAAAAACCCAAAATCCTAAATGCCCCCCTGGCCTGCCCCCTGCCTGGTCATTGGTAATGCACCCCAAAAATCCCAAAAAAACCCAAAAAATCAAACCCCAAAAAATACTGACCAAAAACCCCCAAAAAATCCTGACCCAAAACCCCAAATCTGGGATGTCCCCCCTCACAGCTGGCCTGCCCCCTGCCTGGTCATTGGTAATGCACCCCAAAAATCCCAAAAAAACCCAAAAAATCAAACCCCAAAAAATACTGACCAAAAACCCCCAAAAAATCCTGACCCCAAAACCCCAAAATCCTGACCTAAAACCCCAAATCTGGGATGTCCCCCTCACAGCCGGCCTGCCCCCTGCCTGGTCATCGGTACTGCACCCCAAAACCCCAAAAACCCCAAAAAACAAACCCCACCCCAAAATCCCCAAAAAACCCCAAAATCCCGAAGACCCCCTCCCCCCAAAAAACCCAAAATCCTAAATGCCCCCCACAAAATCCCAAAAAAACCCAAAATCCCAAATCCCCCAAAATCCCAAATCCCCTCCCCAAAAAACCCAAAAATCCCAAATCCCCTCCAAAAAACCCCAAAATCCCAAATCCCTCCCCAAAAAAACCCCATAAAATCCCCAACCCCTCTCCCCAAAAAAGCCCAAACCCAATAAAATCCCAAAAGCCCCCTCCCCAAAATCCCAAAAACCCCAAAATCCCAAATCCCTCCCCAAAAAAACCCCATAAAATCCCCAACCCCTCTCCCCAAAAAAGCCCAAACCCAATAAAATCCCAAAAGCCCCCTCCCCAAAATCCCAAAAACCCCAAAATCCCAAATCCCTCCCCAAAAAAACCCCATAAAATCCCCAACCCCTCTCCCCAAAAAAGCCCAAACCCAATAAAATCCCAAAAGCCCCCTCCCCAAAATCCCAAAAACCCCAAAATCCCAAATCCCCCCCAAAAATCCCAAAAGAACCCCCCAAAATAAGTTAAAAACCCCATAAAATCCCCAACCCCTCTCCCCAAAAAAGCCCAAACCCAATAAAATCCCAAAAGCCCCCTCCCCAAAATCCCAAAAACCCCGAAGTAATTTTGGGAGGGGGTTTCTGATGGATTTTTGGGGTCTCTGAAGGGGTTTTGGGGTTCCCAGGCTTTTTGGGGTGTCTGGAGGTGTCACCCAGGGGTGCTGAGGGGGGTCCCCAATATTTTGGGTGACATCTTTGGCCCTGGGGGGGTCCCAGGTTTGGGGGACACCAGGTCTGCCCATAGGGTTCTATAGGGGAAGTAATTTTGGGAGGGGGTTTCTGATGGATTTTTGGGGTCTCTGAAGGGGTTTTGGGGTTCCCAGGAATTTTGGGGTGTCTGGAGGTGTCACCCAGGGGTCCTGGGGGGGGTCCCCAATATTTTGGGGGCACC